ACACACACACACACACACACACACACACACACACACACACACACACACACACACCTCTCTCTCTCTCTGCAGGCTGCTGCTGGGTTCCAGTGAACCAGGGGACTTGTCTAGCTTCTTTTGAAGACTGCTACTCCCACCCCTGTCTCCTATAGAGCAATCCAGTCCAGGAGTGAGCCTTGCACTGCCTCCCAGACAGCTCTGCACAGTCTACTGCCAAGGAAAAGATGAGATCAGGTCCAACCAAGAACTCAGAGAATAAATGAAGCAAGCAAGCAACCATAATGGAATATTGTCAGAAGCACTCAATGGGCAGCCGATATTCGACAGATCAACCTCTCCCTCTCCCTCCAGTCATCTCCCACCCAGGGCCCTGTGACCCCCCTCAATAATTAGGGTGAGGGATTCATTTCGGGGAGTCCAGCTCCCTCCTTTGCCCAAATAAAGCTTTACATGTTTACATTTACAACCTAATTGGTTTCGGTTGAGTGGCCCCGAATAAACACCGAGAATAGCCATCGAGAGTGAGAAGTCATTTGTAGGTCAGGACAGCAACTTAAAGCAGATTTTAGGAATCTTTTAAAATATTGATCACCTTCTAATAATCAGCTCCGACTGTTCCTAAACTGAAGCTGATGAGTCTAGTCCTGGGAGAGAAACGACTTTATTAATATCCCTTCCACTCCTCCCTAAATAAAGAAAGAGATGTATTATGATCATGGCTGCCAGGAAAGAAATGAAATCACTTTCTGAACTGTTAGGATCCGTTGTGTTTTCTGGAGGGGGAGGGAAAAAAAAGCAGCCAAGCTTTATTCTAGATGGGGCTGCTCAGAGGCCGTTTCTTTGTGGGAACATTAGGAGCCGGGCTTGGAAAGGCAGCATATATTGGGAATTAAACTCAAGATGTTCTCTTACGCTCTGTGCAATGCAATTTTTTTTCCTGGAACAGTTGTCAAAAGAAATGCCTTCCGAATCTGATTTTCTCGTGTTGTTGTTTCTTAAAACAAAACAAAACAAAATAAACAAAACAGGGGCGATCCTTTGCCAGTTGCCTATAGCCTGAAATTAACCAGATTTACATTTTTTCCCATCATCTCTCCGCAGAAAGGCACTGGACCGGAGCTCGCCGTCTTTTCTTTAGTATCAAGTACAATTTGTCTTTTGCTTGTGAAGATTTGGTAAATCAGAAGGCGGATAGATAGCGCAGATGGTTGGAGGTGTCGGGTCAGATTATGGCATGCCTCGGTACAGTGCTAAGCTCATTCTGACGGAAAACCCTGATATTATTTTCACAGATCTACACAGTTCACTTGAAAAAAAAACCTCGGAGCCATTTACATCATTTATGTGAGGCTCACAGCTAGCGGGATGGAAAGGCTTTCAATACTGCTCATTTTCATAAAAACCGACAGCGCTGGGGGGCGGGGGGAGGGAAAAATAAGAAAAGAAGGAGAAAGAAGGAGGAGGAGGAGAAGCATGCACATAAATTCCCGAGCTCCGAAACACGCCCTAGAAACTTTTGAAATAGAAGCCTTTTAGGCTTCACCTTCTACACCAGTGTTTAATTTGCGATTCCACTCAGGATGTGTATAAGGACAGGCCACCGAAAAGACCCAGCTTGTAAACGCTTCTGAAACTCAGAAATCCAGAAAGACATTCCCCTCTCCACCCCTCCCCTCCAGCGTTGGGCAGGAGAATTAAAATGCGTGGCGCAATTAAGACAATAGGACTCGGTAAATTAAAAACAACAACCACCACCCTCCCCCCAGCACAAATCATCATTCAAAAGAGCATTGGAGGGTGTGAAAATGTTGCCGAGCAAGCGTGTGACAAGGTGCTCGAGTTTATAGAGCTGGCAGGTTTCCTGCTATTATTTTCAGCTTTCCCCCCACGGTACCTAAAGTGCCGGTAACTCGCCCCAACGATTTCTCTTCCCTGTCTTGCCATTGTACTTTGAGCTATCTCCAGACCCTAAGTTCATTTTAAGGTGAACGAGGCAGGCTGTCCTAAGCAGGTATAAGTCACCTTCGAGCCTCATTTACCGGCTGCTGAGAGCTTCTTGCTTCGGTGTGGCCGGGGCGTCTGTCTGGTTCACGGTGCTAACGCGGTAGTTATTTAGGCTGGTCAGATTTTTCAAAACAAAACAAAACGTAGGTAGGCTTTTAATGTGCACATGATCTAACAAGTGAGTTACTGGGATGCAGTGTAATGGCCATGAACAGAGTGGAGGCAGTCTAGATAATGAAAGTCAAGACCGTAGGCTAAGGAAATTCGAATTAAGAGATCCGATGCAGCTAGAGAGGACAAGGATCAGTACAATGTTTTGGAAGGCTTCTTCCCCTTGCCCCAGTTTTTCTTTTCCAGAGCTTGAGCTGGGTGAGAAAATGCTAGCAGCCCGAAGGGGACTTTCAGCACCTCCCTGAGGGGAAATAAAAGGCATTGTACAGATATAAACCCAAATCGACCGGCTTAAATATGGCACTAGATTTCAAGAAAAAGTTCGGGTCTCCAGGGAAACTTCTGGGCATTCCCACCCACCATGAGTAGTGGGTCTTAAATTACGAGAATTAAATGCAAACCTCTGTGTTTAAATATTGTTACAATTTGAGACAAGCCAACACTGTTCCGAACTCGGTTGTGTCTTTGTAAAAGAGGAGTTAAAGACGGCGCACGGAGGGACTTTTCTTTTTTTGTTTCTTTCTTTTTCCTTTTTCTTTTTTGTTTGTTTGTTGGTGGGGCTTGTGTCACAAATGAAACACTACTTTAGAAGTGCATTAGTTTATTTTCTAAATAGATAGGACTTCCCCGATCCCTTCGTCTTTTAGGGAATTTTTTTGGGGGGACAACTTTCTGCGAAAGAAAAAATTAAGGACTGAATGGTAAAAGTCTTCATTCTCATGCTGGGAACTTCCACAATATTTGCTCTACACCTGTGGGGGCAAAATGTTGCTCTTTGGAAAGGAAACTCTGCATTATAATAGAAGAACAATTCTGGGGGATGTATGTGTGACCAAGGCATTGTAATACAGCGTGTTCGCCTGCCTTTAGATTTGGCTGCTAGCAGGGTTTCTAAAGCGCGCTTCTTAGTGACAAATAAAGTGTTTTCATATATGCTTTTTATGTGTACAGTGTGTCTTGTTCGGCTTTCTAGTCTGATCAAGGACACTAGTAATAAATCACCTCGATGTGACAGATAATGGATTCGCGTATCTATGAGTAGCTTCATATGAAAAACAAAACGATCTTTAATTGCATGAAGTCTAAACATCATAGCCATCATATGCATGACCAGGAAATACCATCTCTCTCTGTATGTACTGTTTGTGATAGGCGTATATATACACACAGAGAGAGGGAGGGAGACACAGAGAGATAAATGACTATTGCATTTATTCATAGTTTTTATATTACATGAATATGCTCATTTTTATTACTATTACATAACAAGGATAATGATTTAGAGCCGAGTTCTGAACTCAGATACACAGGGATGGCTGTGGGGAATTATCCTTGTGTAACTGAACTCAGAATTGGGCCCTACATGAAGGATATTATTGCATCTTAGAACGGAAGATTATCATCCCTATTATATCTTTCACAGATGAACATAATCCAATCATTGGCCTATGTGAGCCAGACATCCATGAGGAAGTGCCACAAAGCCAAATTATGCTAAGGAGTGCTAGATTTTGATGTTGTATCTTTAAATACCTTCACATGCAGAAACTACTGTATCCCAAGGGCTGTTAATTACAGTCACTAGAGATGTATAGAATTTTAAAAATACATCTGATGAGAAAATATATTTTGCCTTTCAATAGGTTAGTTGACAGCAAATGATAGGTATTCTAATATAAAAAAAAATCTTTGGGGAGGAATACTCCACTGTCCACTTCAGATTACACAGTATGACTGAGGGGGCATAGATACACTACAGATTGAGAGATGGAAATTCTTCCAGAGATGCTAAACAATTTTATGTTTACTGTTCTAGAGAAAGGTAATAACATTCCATTGAATATCACAGAAGTTACCATTTTACTGTACCACTTTAGCTGACACACTCTTTTTAGGAGCAAAACTTTAGCTATAAACACCACACCTGCACAGCACATGGCAATCATATATCAGCAGCAAAGCAGTTACATAAAATAACACAAAAGTGGCAGAAAAAGAAAGTTATCAGGTAACACATTTTCCACTCTCTTTCATAATATCTCTGTTCTTTCATGATGAGTAAGAAGTAGCAAGCAGTGAAAAAAGAAGAGGAAGGGAAATCAGAAGGGAAAGATCCAAAGAGAATCCCTAATGCCAAGAGGACTTTGTGTTATCTAGGGACCATTAACTGAAGCACCTTCTTTCCAAATATACATCTGCAAAGTCCTTCAGGCCTATCTGATAGTATCTCCTGAATTTAGTGTGTAGGACCACATTCCTGTTTTCCATATCTCCTCTGTGGATGCTGAAGTTCCTTCTGTCCAGGAGGTAGTTGTGGACCTGGTGGAATGCCCTAAGAAACTGGTTTGTCTCTCTATTTATAGCAAATAATAAATCTTGATATGGTTGGTTCTGAAGACTTTGTACCTTTACATTTTGGATGGAAGGAAATGAGAAGTACACAGGATCTCCTTATTAGCTTGTATGCTTTAGGTAAATCTTTACTGCTCTTCAAACTTGCAAGCTTATGCCAAAGCTCCCTTTGAGGGGCATAAGAACTGCCATACTGGGTCAGACCAATGGTCCATCTAGCCCAGGATCCTGTCTCTGCACTGGCCAGTGCCAGATGCTTCAGAGGGAATGGACAAAACATGACAACTTTGAGTGATCCATCCTCTGTCCTCCAGTCCCAGCTTCTGGCAGTTGGAGGCTTAGAAACACCCGGAACATGGGCTTGAGTCCCTGACCATCTTGGCTAATAGCCATTAGTGAACCTATCCTCCACTAACTTATCTAATTCTTTTTTTAACCCAGATATACTTTTGGCCTTCACAACTTCCCCTGGCAGCGAGTTCCAGAGGTTTACTATGCATCCTGTGAAGAAATACTTCCCTTTTTTTTAAAACCTGCTGCCAATTAATTTCATTGGGTGATCCCTGGTTCTTGTGTTATGTGAAGGGGCAAATAACTCTTTCTCTACACCATTCATAATTGTATAGACTTCTGTCATATCCCCCCTCAGTTGTCTCTTTCCCAACCAGAATAGTCTCTGTCTTTTTAATCTCTCCTCATGTGGAAACTGTTCCATACTCTTAATAATTTTTGTTGTCCTTCTTTCTACCTTTTCCAATTCTAATATCTCTCTTTTAAGAGGGGGCAACCATAACTGCATGCAGTATTCAAGGTGTGGCAAGTATTCACGGATTTATATAGTGGCATTATGATATCTTCTGTCTTATTATCTATCCCTTTCCTAAAGGTTCCTAACATTCTGGTAGCTTTTTTGACTGCTACTGAACACTGAGCAGATGTTTTCAGAGAACTATCCATGATACTCCAAGATTTCTTTCTTGAGTCATAACAGCTAGATCCCTCATTTTGCATGTATATTTGGGATTATTTTTTCCAATATGCATTACTTGGCACTTATCAACATCGACTTTCTTCTGCCATTTCGTTCTTTGGATTTGGACAAAACAAGAGGAGAACAGTTTATGGAGAATTGTGGAATGAAGTGCTACCTTAGAATGAAAGCAAGGGATGTACGAAGACTTTTTTGTCTTTATGAAAAATACAATATGGCTCTTCCATGGATAATACTGAAGTTACTGATATTCCCTTGCTGGAGTTGTGGCTATAATTAGAAAAACATATTTTAATAGAATATAGGGCTCTGCAGAATTCATACGTTTAAAGAGGGTAGAGATAGTTGAAGAACCAGATTTAAATCCCATACTAGAAGAATGTGGTACCTATGTGGTTTTAGCTAGTTTAATTGCTTTCTGCATTCTAAGTATTTGGGACTGTGAAGTCAGGAAGAATAGCAAATTTTTCCCAATGTTAGAATGTTTCTGATTTCCAGATACTCTTTTGGAAGTCAGTAGGATTACATACATGAGGTCATGTGTATATCCTGTTTCACATAGAATCCCCATTTCTGTTTCCATACAGTTAGATCCAGGGAGAATGGTGCAGAATGGAGCTCTGGGATAGGAGAGTTGATCTGTGAGGTAGAAGAATATGCCAACTGGAGCATCTTATTATGTCTGAGTACCAAGGTCTTCTTGGCCAGGCTGGAGTGATTAATATGATTGCTGCTCTTTCTGTTTGTTGTTGTTTGCAATTCGGGGAATTAAAGGTATGGGAAGGAATGCACACATGGGATTTTGGCTATTGATGAAATAGGACATCTACCGATACAGACTTCTGGGATTATTCTCTTTGTTACTGCTTTATTATAAAGGAGGATATGTAATAATGGAAATCCCCTTCTGAAGGAATCACCATTTCCTCAGACAATGTGACTGCTGTGTCTATTTTTGGGATAAAAACTGTGGAGCTAAGGGGTGCCTTAAGTTTGTAGAATTGTAATGCCTGGTAGCTTAGCTTCTTTCCATTATCTGGGCATTCTCATTCTGATTTAATTACATCCTCAAAAGAGGAGAACAGAGGCATGCAGGATTCTGATTTGGATTTAGAAGGAAGTTATTTGTCTGGGACATTTTTACTTACCTCTTGTTTCTTTAGCTGCATGCCTATGGTGTTAATCACTTGTCCGCATATAATTTCTAAACACTCTGGGAGGAATAAAGTTTCTATTTGTCATGGTATGATTATTTAGCTTGAGAGGCTAATAATTCTTCCTCTTCAGGAAGAGAAATAGGGGAGGATTCAGAACAGAAGAAAGATGATGCTTCCTTGCTTTCTTATAGGACTTAGATTAAATTTTTTTGGTCTTTTTTAGTTATTTTTTATCTTTTTAGACTTTTTGAGAGTACCACTGACCTATAGACTTCCTCAGAAATAAATTTCCTATTACACTGGGATTGCACTGGATTTGGTTTTGTGTTTCCTGATCATCTCCACCATCTTGAGTGGAAGGGAAATAAAGATCTGAAGGCAGCTTTCCAGAGGACAGCTTGCTGAGGAGATAAATATATGTATGTACTCCAAAATGAGAGGAAAAAGGGCATGAGTAATGAAAAGAAAGTTTAAAGAGTGGGTGTGTTAGAACTGTCTGGTATCAGAGGCAGAACTTCTGGTCATTTGCCAGATATGTGGGATGGGATCAGGTCCTGAGAACCTTTTCAAAGAACTGAACTGCCCACATCTCTCTTCAGAGGAAGTCAACCTACTCCTCATTGATTAGTGAAGATATTATGAAAAAGAATTAAACTCTTGCTTTCCGACTGATAATTGTGTTAGTTATTTATTGCTAAGTAAAGAATGTCATTTAAAAATATCAACTTAAGATATTACAGTTTTAGAAATATGTCTACTAGGCTTGCACTAATGACACCTGGGTCAGGCATTTTCAAGCAATCAGTGAATCCTGGATTAAAGGAACTCTTGGGCCATCAAAAGTTCCAGTAGGGAGTTGATCCAGAAAGTCCTTGCTCAGGCAAAATTTTGACTTCAATAAACTTTGGAATAGAGTCCAAAGACCTCCACTGAAGTCAATGGTAGTCCAATTAACTTCAGAGAAATGCCCTTTCCAGTGGCCATTGTTGCTTACATTCAAAACTAAAAATCACAGAGATGTTCAAACTAGCATCGCTATAATTGAATGTGCACTACATTATTTGTATCACAAACTCCTATTTCTAGAAGTTTATAAGATTCCCGTTGACATTTGAACCAACACTGAACAAACCTGAAGCAATTTTTAGTGGATTTTAAATTCTAAAGCATTTTAGAGCAGTGATGTAAAATTGGAATTACTGATGCTCTACGATTACCTATGGAGCTCAGAGATGGACAGGTGTTATGGGCTGCTGAAGCCCTCGTGAGTATGGAGACAAAGTCCTGGCAGGATGCTATAGGCAGTCGTGATTCTTGTAGGTGACTCTGGATTAAATGGATGGACAGAGAGAGTGAGAGACTCTTAGGTAAGAAACTAAGTTTACTGAAAGTTCTGAATCCCAGATATAAGGGGCAGTGGATGGTAACGCTCTTAGAAAGTTTTTGAATAGATACATCTGTAAACATTTTATTTCTAGAAGAAATAACTGTCTTCTACTTTGTTTCTCTTTTTTCCCTTCATTTTTGACTGTAGGCCAGGTAAGTCAGCCCTTCCCCTTTGCACCTGCATTTCCTGATGCTTGGTTTAGCTTTCCCGGAGTCAGCATCTCCAGTTTGCAATTGACAAGAGGTGCTGTTTATGGCAGAATTAATTCTCTGCCTTTTTCTTCTATCTTAACATCTGCCTTCCCCCCCCCCCCAATTTTTAGCGTCCTTTCTTCTTTTACTGCTGATGTGTCTTCTCTCCTCCTATCTGTTTTATTTCTTCTCTTTATGTTCAAGCATTCCATTATTTCTCATTTATTTCCCTTATTTCAGTCTTGTTTTCAACCCATCTCTGTTCACTCTATATATGCTTCTACCTTCCTCCACCCTCATTCCATCCATTTCTTCTGTACTCCTTTACTTTCTCTGCTATATCTTTTGAGCACCAATCACCATATTACCGTGGTGAGTAATTCCCAAACTGCAGTCCATGAACCACTGTGATCCACAATGATCACATGATGCAGGCTCTCCTCTTTATTTAAACTGCTTCTACTACAGGTGTAAAGGATTTTGAGGCCTGATAATGCAGCTTTTGCTCACATGTCATTGACTTCGATGGGACTGTTTGCATGAATATGGACTACTCATGTGAATAAGGGCTGCTAGATTACATGTTATGGTTGTCAATACTCGTAATACCCCAAACAGCTTTGATTTAATGTAAAATTACTGTTAAGGCACTAGCCCATGATGTAAGCTATGATACTTTAATGTATTTTAAAAAAAATCTGTTAAACTGTTTGGGCCAGATCCCTGGGTTTTGCCAAGATGCGC